ACCTTGTCACAATTCCTTTCAGCTGGGGTTCTGCAAAAAATAATTATTATTATTAGATATACCAAACATGTAGCAAGTAGCAAGACACCCAATTTGCTTGGCCCCCATGAAACCCTGAGTAAATGTAGAAGTCCTTGGCAGATAAGACAGCTTTCCGTGATTCCTCTCAAGCATGGTAGTAAAATATTCATATATACATAGACGTACAGGCAAATAAAATGGAGATCAGATGAGCAGGTAAAATGCAATGCATAGTTGGTGCAGCAGAAAGTAACATTTATGGAACATCACTTCGCTGAAAGTTACCTACCAAATGAAAGTCTTTAGATAGCTTACGTATTCTAAATATGCCACTCCTTCAGAAGAATATTTGCTAGCAGTGTTGCAAAGAATTTGCTTATTGTTTCTTATTCTGCCTGTGAAGCCAACTACCTTGCTTTCTGTATGGTTGATTCACTACCGTGCAGTTCCAGTTTTATGCCAGTGAAAATCTATTTAAATCAATGGTATTATACTGGTGTAAAACCAAAGTAACCAAGTGCTGAATCAGGCTGCATGAGTCCAACTGTGTGGGACTCGGGGAGCAAAATCCTGAAAGGAACAGATGCAAGACACCTCCAAAAATGACCTCTGAAGCATTTATGGGCACCTTAAAACGCCTCTGTTTTAAAATCCCACATGTTCCTCCCGCCCAAAACACGTGCCACATACTCTAGTAGATGAGAATCACTCTTTGCCTCTAGCAGGGTCCTTTCCCAGCCACTGTACATCATGAGCCAGCCACGGACTGACTAGGGGCTTCCCTATTGCCTCTGCAACATTTTATACCTGTGCTGAAGAGGAAAAGGAAAACACGAAAAAAGCAGAAACAATTTGAACCCACATGACAGAGGTCTGCAGCATTACTGCCTGTCTCCCTGCCATCCAACCAATCAAACACAAATTAAGCAGTCAAAAATAAATTCAATTTTAATCACGCAAGTCTTAAAATTTGTCACAGGCATTGCTTCTGGAAAGCAAGCTGGCTGGCTACACGTGAACAGACACACTAGCTGGATGGCAGAGATCTCTGTGTGACAGGAGTTTGTGGTTTTATGTGACCACCCACCAAAAGTAAATAAGACCTAGTTATTGCTGGCTCAATAGACAGGAAAAAATCCAGTGTAGCATACCGAAATTCCATCAGCCTCCCATCTCTCATGCCTCTAGTGAGGCTGTTTAATAAGCCGTAGTCGTTATATAACTCCGGTCACGTTGTGCGTTAAGTGTTTCCATTAGGAGCCCCCGTCTCTAACGATTTTGCACCGCGCTGTACAGCTTCCATTTGAGGATGGCACTCTCAGCCTGCACTTCTGCACAGGCAAACCCACCCCCCCACCGCAGCAAGCGGGGACCTTGGATGCCGACAGGCTGCAGGTGCAAAGGAGTTCAGCTTCAGCAACCCCTCCACCAGCCAGGGCAGAGTCAGGTACTATTTCGTAGCTACAAAAGCTGCTGAATAAATCAGTATCAGCTGGTTTCTACGTTGCCTTAAAAAAAGTGATTTCATAGCAACCAAAGCACTGTAGACTGCAGGCAGGCTTTCTCTCAGGAAGACAACTCCGGGACAGTAAATAAGTGCAATTGTACTGGCCATCTACTAAGAGCTAATGTCAGTCAAGCCAATATGTCAAATTGAGACTTAAGATTGAGCTAAGTGTTTTGCTTTCTTCTTACCAAAATGAAATATCTATTTTGTTGAATGCAGAAGCTTGATTTAACTTGCTTTTCTAACAAGCACGTCAAAGCTAGAGGAAATAAAAAGCTGTATTCTCAGGCACAGATGACTGCACCACCCTCCTCAAGCCTGTCCCCTTCCTCCCTTCTATCTAATATGACAATAGTAAAGGCACTAATAGGCACTCTCTGATATGAAACGCTTACATTTGAATCCCTGAATGAGTCTTAGCCTCATTTTTACTCTCTGGTTAAATTTTAATGTTTAAGTACTTTGCACAAAATGGAAGAGCTCCCAGCAGGAGAGATTTAAAAGATCCTCCTGCAGCCTGAGGCTTTCTGTGTGGTAGGGAAGGGGGGAGATCTTGTCTTAAAGCTCCTCAAGGATAAGAGGAGTGGAGCTAAGTGGAGATAAAAACCAACCCTGATCTTTTCCCCTTTCTTCGGAAGATGATTTGGCTACAGGATAGAAGGCCTTTTCCTTCTTCTTCAGGGTGCAAACTATACTTTGATCATGCAAATGATTTTGGAACGACGTGAAAACCTCTCCCAATTTTACTAAATAGCCTATTGAGTGAAATATAGAGCAAATCGGCTCATCATTAGTAGCTTCATGTCATTTTTGGAGTTTAGCCAAACAGCACCCAAGATCCCCTGAGGTCCCCCTGCATCCATGCTATAGATGCAAATGCTGTTGCACCAGAAGGCTAAGTGTCACCATAGCAAAACACGGGGTAAAGCCCCAGCATCCCTTTTTGTTACTGATCTGACATAAACACACAGTCAGGTCTGATTCAAGCTTTAACAACTGCCCTCTTCATAATCCCAGGCTTTCCTGAGCCAATGCCTGCCTAGGGAATGGTTGGAGGAGAAATTTTATCTTACATGTGCTTTTTTTTTTCCTGACCTGACCTGGTTTTGCTGAAGTTTGAGGCTCACGCCCAAACTCAAAGTAAAACTCAAGGGAAGTGAAGCAGAAAGCTCTAAGCCATACACAAAACCACCACACTCCTCCTGGCCCTAACACAGTCTGACAGCAGCAGTGTTCCTGTCGCTCTGCACTGCACAGATCCTCTTCTGCAGGAGCATCCCTGCTCCCCAGACTCATTTAGGAAGCAGCGCCAGCAAACAAATGCCTTTTCCAGACACCAAAGGGTCAGAAAGCACTTTGGAGACATACACATCTCTCCTTCCCTGGTTTCTGCATTTCCTTGGGTCTCTTCCTACAGGAGAGAAGCGCTGGTGAGGAGCTGCACTTGAACTAAATACAAAAGCAGCATAGACACACACACACAGCCAGCACCAAGTTCTCTCCTCTAACACAGAGCACAACCCGGGAGGATTAAGGAGTTGTCTGGGCAATGGGTGATTTATCTCACCTAGTACAGCCGTGCCTACACCTGAACTGGGCTCCCTTTGCATCCCAAAAATCAACAGGCAAGCCAGGCCAGGTCCATAGGGTCCTGAAGCCACCTGTATCTCTCCACTGATCGCGGAGGGACCAGCCCAAACACAAACAGCTACACTGGTGACAACAGCCGGCAGAAGAGCTGCTTCCTACCAGTGAACCTCCTGTCTCATGTCTGGACGTAAAGTGAGATACTGGGATTTGTCATTCATACAGCAAACAATGTGGCCGAGAGGCCTATAGACAAAATTTTAGATGAAGGCAGCCTTTAACAAGGAACAAGGATTACCCATCTTTCTCCCCAAAACTCACTACAGAGTTATTACCTGAAGAGGGAACTGTATAATCACAGGACAGGACTTTTCCTGCTAGCCCAGAGTCCAAACTCTGCATATGACTTTTAAGAGACTCCCTACTTCTGTCATATCGTGTATTTTAACATCACTTCTTTCCATCTACAGAGTAATTTTATCACAGTCTTCCAGCATTGCTATCCCTTATGCTGCAGCAATCATGCTGAAAACCTCGGTTTGTAGAAAAATCTCAAAACCAGCAGCTCTCCTTGTCAATTAAGGGTGGTGGGACACCTTGATAAGTCAGAACAGAAGGCAGAAAGACAATGAAATAGACTGAGAACTTTTCACAGTTTTGCAATAAAAAAAGGAACAGAAAACCCTCTCCAGCAGGCAATATTCCCAGTGCTTATTGGAGCACCGGGGGAAAAGATTAAAATAAAACCCCACAACCTCGATACTTTTATTTATCTAAAGTTCCCTCAATGATACTGCTCCAGGCTATAATCAATAAGAGAAAGAAGCAAACCATAAAAAAAGGAAAAAAAGAACGCAGCACAGATAAGCACAAACCCTGCCATGAGCATTGTCTTTCTATAATTCACAGAATTTACCAGGAATCAAACTCAAACCTACTCTCTAACCTCATTCTTGTACAGCAAGGGGGACTCAGATCCTCTTGCTTTTAAAGGAGCAATACTGCATAACGCACTTGGGATAAACCTATTCCCCCCACTCAGGCTCCTCCGTACACTCTTCTATTTCGCTGTAGGAGCAGCTTTCCCTGCAGAAATGTAACTGAACTAACGTGGACAAGAATTCAGCACCAACTTAGCATCTCTCTAAATACAAAGTCAAGTACTTCAGAATGGATTTAAGAAAGAAGTTATGACTGCCTTGATCCCAAAGTACCGACTAAACACAAGAGATTTCCACGCAGTGTGCATTCCCAGTGCAGACTCCATGCTATTAGGATTCCCATGCGATATGCAAAGGGATATTCTTACCCTTATTTTCTAAGCAAAACTGTTATGCTTTAGGATGCTTACTTTAAAGATCCTCTTCTGGTTGCTCATACACAGCTGTTCAGGACTCAGGGGAGCTGGAGAAAGCTCAGCAGACCCTCTCCTTATGCTGATAAAGCAAGCCCAAATCCTTCAAATGTGGTGCTGCTCCCAGATGCAGGAGAAGACCACCCCCAGGAAGCACCCCCAGTGGGCACGGTCACAGTGCAGGACAGACCAATGAGGGTAAGAGGGAGCAAGAGCTAAGCCATGGCTCTGTTCCTGGTCTGTAACATCTGCCAGACTAGGGCTTTTCCTCTAGGGTGAAGACATGGTCCTCAGCTAATAACCCTTCTTCGAGCAGTTATCCAGTGACCAGCTCACTGTACATCCCCTGAAGGGCATCCTGCTTGCTCCCCTTTCTACAGGCCAAACCCACCAGCTCCGCCTGCCCTGCTTTTAACTTTCTGAGCCCTTTGACACAGCAAGGCTAACTAAATCGTGATCTGATTGCTAATCTCCTTGTCTTTTAC